TTTGCTTGAAAACTATGTGTTTAACTTCTAGTTTATTCTAAAACTATGTATTTCATCTTTCATTTGGTGACTTTTGTAAACACTCTTGTGGTGATATGTGTGTGTGTGTGTGTGTGTGTGTGTGTGTGTGTGTGTGTGTGTGTTCTCTTTGGTCATCTTAAGTGTAATTTGTGTTTAGTATGTATTTGTTGCTCACATATTGTGATTAGCACGGTGACATACATCTATGTATGATTGCATTAAATATTTCATTTGATATATGCTATGTGGCTTGTTGATATAGGGAGCCTTCCCTATATGTTTATACTCACCCGTGCTTATATTGAGGGAGAGCTTACGCTCTCTTTCTCCTTATTGTTTTCCTCATTTTGATGTTGACAAAGGGGGAGAAACAAGTGTGTTATGAGTATTTCATTTTTTTTCCTTTGCTTAGTATTTCGCTTTCTTTTGCTTACTATTGGTATCATGCATGATGATTATAAATTGTATACTCATTTGGTATCATGCATATTTTATATACTCTCTGTGTAGATTGTTTATCATTATCAAAAAGGGAGAGATTGTTAGGTCTTATGTTTATGAGCCTATTGTCTAATCTTGTTTTGATGATTAACAAACAATTCTTAATCTTGTTTTCTAGTATTTTTTTTCCAACATGTATCCATGTCGGAGGTTGGAAGGATTTGCGTCTTAACGTCGATATCTTGGAGATTGGTGGAAATCAGAAAGAAGCTTTGTGCATTCAAGTCAAGATTCACTATCATGCTTCATTCGCTACCAAGATCGAGCTAAATGAAAATCATTTGCTTGGGTATATTGTTTATAGTTTAGGTTTACTTTATGTGTTATGCTTAAAACTCAAACCACACACATACACGATTCGTTTTATCACTTTCAAGTTTAGCCATATAAATATGAAACTAATAGATATATTTATATACATACACACTAGTTTCTTATTTATCGTCTTCTTGGAAAATTAACGTGTTTCGGATTATAGACTTAATGATACTGTTTTACATCTTTTCAAAAGTCCATGAATCCATTTGAAAGTATCACAAAACTTGTTTGAAGAAATTTCCTCAAAATCAAGTATTTAACAAACTTGTATTTGTGACTGTTTTGCAAACAGTGAGTTTTCACAAATGCGAAGTGTTATTTTAGAAATTTCTTCTCTAACATGTTCATTTTTATATATATAAATGTTTCCCCAAGTTTTACTATTTTTGGAGTTGATATACTATTTTAAATTGAATTTAGAAAATCAAGTTTTCAGCAAATTTGAATATCTAAAATATCAGTTTTCGGTCGACCGATTAAAATGTTCAGTCGACTGACCAGAACGAGTTTTTACAGCATATGATTTTACAGTCTTATTAGCCGACCGATTACTTGAATCACTCGACCGAGCACAGTGTTTTCAGTTGATTGATTTTTCTTTTCAGTCGACCGAGTCGTGGCTATCTGTTTTATATATTGTAACATGTAATTGATCAGTTGACCGATAAAAATCCACCAGTCGACTGATCTGCTCTATTTCACTGTAATGGCTAGTTTTGGCAGTTTTGTTTGAGAGGCTATAAATAGCCCTCAAGACTTGGTATTTAGGTAAGAGTTTTACAAGAGGTTTTGGGTAGTTTGTTTCTAAGTTTTTGAAAGATCTAAGTGTGTTTGTTTTTGTGAAAAGAGTTTTACAAGAGAAGGATCTCAATTTCAGTTTTGAGGATCTCATCCTCAAATATCTACATCTCTTGTTTTTCGGAGAAGTTTTCTAAACTCTTTTCTTCTAGCTATTTTATATTTTGATTCTCATATACAAGCTAGAAGTATTTGAGTTTAAATTTGGTTTTTCTCATTGTTTTCACACACAACCACTTGAGCTTAAGTATTATACATTTAGTATATTTGGGTTGTGAGGTTGATTCATTGAGTGAGCTTACATTTCGTTCTCATTTGTATTGGAGAACAAATCCTTTATCAGCACTTATTATTGAAACACGTTGTAATACACAAGAACACTTAGAGGAGTGGTTGGAGAGAGACCGAGGTTAATTCCAAGAGGAGTAGGTTGATAGTAAAACCTAGGGAGATATTGTAAATTCAAACACTTGAGGAAGGTAACACGGATAGTCCAACACTTAGAGAAGTGTAGTTTATGTGATTGTCAACGTGTGTATTGTAAAAATTATTGGTGATCTTTGGAAACCGTTATTGTGCAGTTATTTGAGATATAGTGGAGATCTTCTCGAGGTGAGGAGCGGAGACGTAGGTCGAGTGTTAGACCGAACTCCGTGATCATATCTTACGTTTGTGTTTAGCTTTGGCGTACTTTTCTTGTGCTTATTTTTATATCGCCTATTGTCTCATAGTATATCGCCTTGTATCTCATTGTTTATCCTTGCATATCTTTCTTGTATATCATATTTCTAGGATATTACATTATTAGTTTTAATTTGGCATCATTATCAGATTAGATTAGCAATTATCCCATTCACCCACCTCTAGGATACTTTCACCTATTATGATACAGTAAACAATCCTATTTATTTAAGAAACCATCATAAAAAATAATAAAAAGTCTAAGTAAACATGAAAATCTCCAAACAAAATAACAAATAGTGTCATGTTGATGTTTTTATATACAAAGTAAAATACATGAAATATAGTACTAAGAGAGTATGAAGATAATATCTGTTATGGTATTCTTAATCACCTAAGTGCAACCCTTTGCTAGTAATGGACATATGTACTTCTGCATGCATAGCCCCAATCAAGTTGGCGGCCAAAGAACAGCAATGTGTAGGTGTTAAAAATTACCTATAGGTTTCCGCACACAGTTCGAGATGGAGAGAAGACGATGAACGTCATTATCCGAGTCAAGGAGGATTATCTGATGCCGACAAGCGTAGGAAGCTAATCGACGAACCGTTGAGGACGTAGCAACAAGACACCGCAACGACAAACCAAATGGCCCGCGTGCTCGTCGGCCGCCTCCAAGCTAACGAAACGCATAAAGCGAATCGGTGAAGCGGACAAGTCAACGAAACGACGAAATACGAGTAACGACGAAACAAGTCCAACCCGAACGAACCGGAAAAACCCTGGT